CACGTAAGGTCTGATGGGGCAATTCAGGTAACCTGCTTTAATGGCTTTCGGTAACTCTGGAGATGAAAAAGGTCAGAATAAGATGTTTTGTGTTGGCGAGTTGCCCGTCTCTACGGACTTTTATTCGGTGGACCCCACACACATTTTGCTCGGCGAGTTCTTTTGAAAGTTCATCCTCAGAGACTGATATCAAGTCTATTTCCGAAATGACACCTCTTGACATGTTCAAAGACTTATGTGGGGATACAGTAATAGAATGTTCCCCCATTTTGGTCATTTTTAGGAGAGAGAGAGAAGATTGTGCATCAGATGTAGTCTCGATGAGCAGAGATCCTGAACGGAGCTTTTTTATGTGTTTTGGCTCGCCTGCTGAGGCCACAATATGCTTATGGATGAAGAATGGTGATAAATTTTCTAGCTGACCAGTATAACTAAGAACTTTGGACATTTGCTTGTGCTAACTAAGGTCGAAGTCCAAATTCTTTTAGCAGCTCCAGAATTTTTCGTATCTATATGGTTAGGAGAAGAAGTTAAAGTTTTCATATTGAAAAGAGAGAAAGTTTCGAGCCCGACCGCCCCACCCACCATGGAGCCCAACAAGGGAACACAGATCCCTGTGTTAGGGCTAGCCGGGCCTATACGCAAACTGAAGCCCCACAGTTGGCTTTCCCGAAAGCGGAGACTAGGTCACTAGTGACCAGCCGATTGACACTAGCGGGGACAGCTAAGTGCCTCCCGTTTTAAGTAGAAGCAGAGGCCAAAGCAGTGTGTTGGGGACAGTACCTCGCCCCTCAACTGCCAGGATCCTCCTTTCCTACCCTACGGGTCACCATGCACAGCAAACACATAGGCGGTATTCTCACCATGGTGAAACAGAAACCAGAGTAGTAGCTACATCCCACAGTGAGCCCCAAACTCCAGTAGAGGAAACCACAAGGAAGAGAAATAGGAGAGAGAGCTAGACAAGAGGAGAGGAAAGAAAGAGGAGGAAAGGTCACTGTGACCCTGGGAGTGTGACACCCGATCACCAAGACGGCAATCCCCTGAGGGTTCTTCACCTGCTATGCTTTAGATGGGCATAGTCTTGTTTTTAAATCACCTGCATAATCTGCATCACTGTACACTTCAAGGTTATTGGGATGACACTTTGCTTCATATAACAAGCCAAAATCTACAGTTCCTCTTAGATATTTAAAGATTCGCTTTACAGCACACCAATCCGAGGGTACTGGGATTTTCAAGATTTTCAGAAACAATGCTTATAGCATAAGCTAAATCAGGTCTTGCTGCAGTTGCAAGGTACATCACACTGCCACCTGCCTGGCGATAAGGGACTTCTTTCCCTATCAGTTTGTTTACCGAGTCATCAAAAACAAAACTTTTGTCACTTGGAGTTGACACTGGATTCACGGAGTCCATACGAAATTTTGAGAGAACGTTTTTCAAATAGGCACACTGATTCACAAAAATTGAACCATCATTCAATATTGTTATGTTCATACCTAGAAACTGGTTCAATGAACCCCTTGTGATCTGAAAAGAATGACCAAGTTCACTCATAAACTCCTCCACTTCAACTTTGTCTGTCCCAGCAGCAACGCCATCATCTACATAGATAAAAACAAGAAGTTTCTTGTCAGTTCTGTGTCTGATAAACAAGCAGGGATCAGCTGTACTAACTTTCAGTTCCTGGTCTTTCATAAAATTCACAAAACACTGATTGCAGCAACGGGGTGCTTGTTTGAGTCCATATAAACTTTTATGCAATTTACAGACTTTCCCACTATTATCACTGAACACTTCCTCCTTAAGGGCTCCATACTAGAATGCAGTCTTTACATCAAACTGCTGCAAGTACAAATTTTCTTTTGCCGCCACAGCAAGAACAGCTCTCACAGTGTCATATCTTGCAACAGGGCTGGATGTCTCGTCGTAATCAAAGCCTGCATTTTGAGCATAACCCTTGTCTACAAGACGAGCTTTGTGTCGTTTCAAAGTACCATCTGGATTAAATTTCTTCCTCAGCACCCAATGACAGTTGATAACTTTGGAATCTTTGGGTCTCTCAACAAGTTCCCATGTTTCATTTTCATGAAGGACTTTTATTTTTTTCTTTTATAGCTTCTAGCCACAGGTTACTTTCACTTGATGAAACAGCTTCAGAATATGTGGATGGATTTTCACTATTTTCAAATTCTTCTACTGCAGCTATGTTTGCCGTCTAGATATTCTCTGGATTTCATCCATGCAGGACAGTTTCAGTTTCTTCCAGATTTTCTAACAGGCTCTTGTTCTTTGGATAGATTACGTTCTTCACTCTGAGTATCTTCATACTTTTCATTTAAGTCTTCCTCCACCTCCACTGTCACAAGAGTGGTGCACAAACATTCTGGTTTGAAGTCAACATCTGAAGATTTTATGATTTCCTTCTACTAGGGCAGATAGATCTCATAACCATCTGTCTTGTTTACATACCCCACAAAATGCTCACAGACACTTTTGTCTTCAAACTTACGTCTGAAGATCTTTGGTATATGTACATAGCATACATAGCATTCGGTTCCAAATACTTTCAGGTGGTCAAGTTTAATTTTTGGCTCCCCAGTCCAAAGCTCATGAGGACTTTTGCTTTCATCTGGAGGTAAACCAGTGTGATTTAGCAGATACACTGTGGTTTCACATGCGTTGGCCCGAAGTGACCAAGGCAATGCACTTGTTGCAAGCATAGAATGAGCCAGTTCAACAATTATTCGGTTTTCCCTCTCTGCTGTGCCATTTTGTTCTAGTAAGTATGGTACATTGAGTGTTAGTACTATACCTTTTTCAGCAAGTATCTTTTGAACTTCACCACAGTCAAATTCTGCTCCTCCCTCACAACGAAACTTTTCACAACAAATGTACACAATTTTTCAACAAGATTCTTGGTTGTTTGTTTATCAGAGTCTAGAGACTCCCAAACGTTGCTTAATTCTTGGAATTCTGTACCCTCTGTACGCAATATTTTGCCAAGCAATAATTCTTCTGGAATATTACTTGATCCAATACGATTTAATTCACCGTTCATATCCGTGTAGATTCTTTCAACTTTAGCTGCATGTGTAGCAATATTGTCATTAGGATCTCTACCGACTTGAAAAAATTGTTTCCTCAATAAATTAAGTCTGAATACTGCTTTGCTTAAAAACACTAATTAATTTGTCCTAAATGTCCTTTGCATTCGAGTACGTCATCACTAAATCGGCTACAGAAGCGCCCAACGTACTAGCAATAAGCTTGGCTGTCTTAGCATTATCATGCCGCCATTCAACCACTTTCGTCACATGCTCATCTGCACTAAAATCACCGTTTACAGCGACTGGACAAATTTTAGTTCCATCAATAATTGACGTGAGATCATATTGTTCAAAGTGCATTTTTATTTGCCACTTCCATTTGCTCCAATTTTCCGCAACTTCTAGTTTGTCAATTTGTACTTTCAAATCCATAGCATCTTGCTGTTAGGCCTAGCACACGGTTCACTTCGCTTTTCAAAAATTTTAGCAGATATTATATTCATGCAGATTTAAAACACGCTGAGCCCATAACCTGTTGAGGTTATCGATAAATCGATACGAGCTAAAACAAAAATAAATTAATAAAGTACAAATAAATAACTAAAATGCATATTAAGAGCAAGCAACGTAACCATTTATTACTGCATGCTACATTCGAGATACTTGAGTAAACATAAGAGTTGAGTTGTCATCTGTCTGATACAAAGTTGAGTTGTTACTACAATAACATAAAATTAGTAACAAGACTTTTAAATTTCAACTTTTACATACAGTTTTGCTTTGTTTCGCGAAATGTTGCCAAACATACTACTCCTTCATTATTAGAAAGTGCTCCAAATAAAAAATCAATATACTTTTACTGATGCCCCTGACCTGATAAAGTCAGTAATCTCTACTACTAGTATATCTCTACTAAAGGAAACCTATAATAGATAGCGAATACCTCAATGGCTGTGTACATATAGGTTCACCCCACATTAATTTTCTTCTCAGTCTTACCCAACTCATAGTCAGCTTATGTAACAAGTAGCACAAATTCCTTAAATAACTATTAACAACAATGTTAACAAAGAAATATGCATAGTTGTGTTTCTAAATGAAATTATTAGTATCGAAGCTAAATATTTAAATTCCCAGCACTTAAAAATTTAACTTCGTAAACTTCTTAAAATTACACTTGGTAGGTACAGTCAAAAGTCTTTAATCTGAACTCGTCGGGACTTCGGCGATTCCTGATTATCGATTTTTCCTGATTATAGATCATCAGTTTAAATCTGGTAAGATGGCATGCAGAAATTATAAAATTAAAAATATGAAACCGTAATAAAGAACAATTATGATCTAAAGGGTATCAAAATTTACAAAAAAAAATGCTTAATATATGTTTACTTTATTAAACATTTCTTTCAATGCAAGTTGTTTAAGTTGCTTTGTTTTATGTGATAATACTTTCTCTTTAATTCTGTAAACAGACATAATTTCTTGTTCAGTTACAAAGTTCTGCTGTTCAAGTCCTATAATTGCTGTGTTGAGAATACTGACTAATTTGTCCATCGAAAGTTTTTCGTTTTCAATAACCTCTGTGTCACTTTCTTCACTATCAGAAGCGAATTATAATGATGAGGAATTTGATTTAAATCATATCAAAGACAGAGTACATAGAGATGAAATACTACATTTAGTAAGGAATTATAAGCCAAATAAAATAAAAACATCTGCCCTGAAGATAAGGATAGTGCTGACAGATCAATATTACAGGTAGTTGAAATTTATAGTAATTAGGTTGTTGGGGTAGGGAAAAAAAAAAAAAATTTAAAGAAATGACTCAAGCACTAATATTTAAATTCTGACATGAAATGTACTTTAAAAAATTTTACTCTTATTTTAGCTCTATCTTATTGAAATAAATTAAATACAGAAACAAATATTATTAAAAAATACACTTACTGGGATACTTTTTAAATCTGTATTTCTTCTTTGTAACAGATTTAAGTGACTTATCTTCACCAAGATACTCTAACCAATTACGTTCGCAACATTTTTGCATATTTGATTTAAAACGCACTTTGCATTCTTTATCATAACTAGGAGTATTTGTTGGATATTTTTCACCAAATAATCGATCCATGTCCTACAATATATAAAAAAAAAAAAAATAAAATAAAATAATTCTAAAAATGACAGAGGGAAAAACGTAAAAATCATTAATAACAGTTTTTAAAATTAAGTATCTGATATAATGTTTAAATAGAACTGAGAAAGCACGATTTTTAATGCTTATTCTCCTGCATAATAGTTATTGAGAAGTATATTTTTACTATCATTACGATTTCTGTAAGAGGAAAAAAGGAAGGTAAGCAGATAAAAAATATGAAATAATGAAAGTAAATTCACACGGCAGAAAAAAACAATAATTCCAAACACTTCAATAATTTCTCGTTTAAAATATTTTATCAGTGTTATTATTATGTTTTTGCCCTATTACATGCATTAAGTTTTTGCTTTTGTGTGTTGCAATTTAAACCATCACTTACAGAAACCAGTGGTACATTTTTCAATTGACAGTTCATTATAGTTATTTGCATAAAAAAAATGGCTAGAATCTTACCTTAAAAAGATCCAAGACTTTACGCTCAAAGAAGTTACTTTTCATGTGAACGTATCTAATTTCACATACATCTGTTTCAATCCAATATGCTGTGTGCTTGAAATTTTCACAATTTAAATGATTCACGAAGCGTTTTAGAAACTTTGAGTTACATATCTAAAAAGAAATATTTCCTGAAAGTTAAAACAATAGCACATTTCTCAAATTAATAAAATATTTCCTAAAAAAAGCCTGCGACTCTTTTCGTTATGATCCACTTACAATATCCCACAGAATGTTTCAGTGGTCTTAAGCTACAAAACCTCTGTGGCAATACTAAAGGAACTTGTTTTTGTCACTCGGCAACAGTGCGCCCAAATCTCTAGCTGTAACTATAACTGAGATTTTCAAGACGCGCTAAAATCACTTCACTCTCTATCAGATTTATCCTCCGATGCAAATATTTTCAGTGTTAATTTATTGAGCAGGATTTTGTTGCAAATATATGTTTGTTATTTAAAATCAACCATCTCTATATGTGTGGTCTACCACACAGAAAAACCTAACCAAGTCTCTAGAGATATTAATTGTCACATGCAGCACATCTCAAGAATGGCGACTTGTGAACGAGCTTTTTTCAATGGGAATAAATATGAGCAATTTCAAGCAAAGGAGAAAATTTCCTCTATTGCAGTATTTAGTAATAATGCATAAAATGCATTTCAGTGAATATTTTTGTGTTATTGTGCATAATGAATTACTTCAATGTATTCATTGATGATCAGGTTTCAGCAACGTCCGACTGGATAATTTTTGTGCATCAAAGGTATTTTGTGATATTTTGTACCAATTATTTTCGCAAAATGAATAGTATGTGTGTTCATCAAGTGGGTGTGAACCCAGATCCTAACATTAATTATTTAGTGCTTCTTATATGTATTTAGTGCTTCACGTGCACTGTGACTGCATAACTGCAACCTTTTTTTTTTCATCTGTGTTTATTTATATGTATTACTGAAATGGCTACTAGCAATCCCCCAACAGCTGATAGCAAGAAAATGGCTCGTGTTGCAGTAAAACACACCCTAATTTGCCGTAATGATCTCAATCTTTTTTTTTTTTTTTTTTTTTTTCAATTAGATGCCCAATTCAAGCTTGGAGGTATAACACGTGATGACACGAAATTTTATACCACAATTTCTGCCTTTGACACCGAAATTCTAGAGTCAGTCTGTAAGGTTCTGAAACCACCTTCGGATAACAAATATGAGGAATTGGAAAATAAACTTACTTCAGTGTATGAGGCGTCTGAAAATACCTAACTAAAATAGCTGCTGCAGGAGAAGTCTGAAAATACCTAACTAAAACAGCTGCTGCAGAAGGAGTCTGAAAATACCTTACTGTTATATATGTAACTGAATCTGTTATTATCTTTAATCATAACTGTAATATAGAATAACAGGATGAGCAATGCAGAATAAATGATGTTTGTGTACATCTTGTAATCATCACTGAGGCACTTGAAAAGTTTAATACTTTTAATTTAAGTGAAGAAGATAAGAAGGATGTTGACAAAGTAATTGAAGCTTTCGAAAATTTTTGCATACCAAATGAAAGTGTTTATAGACATATATTTTTCTGTCGAACACAACATGTAGGTGAATCGTTTGATGATTTTTTAACTGATTTAAAGAAATTAAGTAGCAACTGTGGAATTCCAGAATTAAAAGATAGTTTAATAAGAGATAGAATAGTAAGTGGAATTCTAAATAAAAATCTCAAAGATACATTATTAAGGGAAGATCAGTTAACATTGGAGAAATGTATTAAAATGTGTAAAGCTTCTGAATTAGCAGAACTTCAGCTGAAAACTTTAACTGAAGAAAATAAAATACAAGCGATCAAACGTAATAAATTTCCACCTTCAGAGGAAAAAGTCAGCCTTGTAAGAAAAACTATCATGTAAAACACAAGCAACAAAGTACTAATTCTTCTTCATACTATCAAGAAAATAAGTTCAAAAATCCAAAACCATGTAGAAAATGTGGAACTTTTAATAAGTTATACAATTGTCCTGCTTATAATAAGATTTGCTTGTACTGTAAAAAGAAAAATCACTTTTCTAAAATGTGCACTTATAAAAATGTTAATGTTGTACAGAATAACTTAGAGCATGAGTTGCATAATAATGGTAATGAATATATTTTAGGGTCAGTAGAAGATACAAATCCATTTTTTAAAAATAGAACAGAATGGTTTGAAAAACTAAAAGTAAACATATCTAAATATTTATTTGTTAAGTTGGATACTGGAGCTCAGTGTAATGTGTTACCATTGTCTAAATTTAAACAATTAAATTTAAGAGATAAATGTTTGACTAAATCAAAATCACTTTAAATAATTGCAATGGTATACAATTGATGTAGTCGGAAAATGTAAATTTCACATATCAAAATCTCAAATAGATTTGTAATATATATCTGCAAATAGATTTGTCGACTACATTTTGATATGTGAAACATATCAAAAGGGAACAAGGATGGAATAGAATTTCAAGTCGTAGCATGCGAATAAAACTGTTCCAGCTATTTTACGTTTACCTACATTGCAAAAATTAAACCTAATACAAAGAATTTGTACAGTAAATCCCGATTCCAATGAAAAGTTAACGGAATCTTTAAAAGGATAACAAGATTTGTTTAAAGGAACTGGGAATTTAACTCATATACATATCATATTAAATTAAAACCAGGAGCTGTTGGTAAAATAGAACCCTGTAGGAAAATTCCACTTGGCTTATTAAATCCATTAAAAAAGGAATTAGCAAGAATGTAAAAAGATGGTATTATAAAGAAAGTTAATCAACCAACAGAATTCGTGAATTCATTAGTGGTAGTAAGGAAAAAAGGATGGTAATTTAAGAGTGTTTTAGATCCTCAGCGCCTTAACCAAGATATACTGAGAGAACATTATCACATACCAACCTTTGAAGAAATTTCAGCTCAAATGACAAATGCAAAGGTCTTTAGTATTTTAGATGCAAACAAAGCATTTTGACAAATTAAACTATCAGATTCAAGTTGTGAATTTACTACATTTAACACTCCGTTTGGTAGATACTGTTTTTTGAGGTTGCCATATGGACTGAGTTCATCACCAGAAGTTTTCCACAGTTTTTCTGAAATTTTTAGTGATTTAGAAGGAGTTCAAATATATATATGTAATAATAAAATTCCATAGTCAAGAATACACTTCAAATTCTAATTGTATGTTCTTTTCATTTTTTAATGGCGACGTTCTCTTATTTGAAAGTACGTGGAATTAAATCCACAGCCCCATAGTCAAGTTGTTTTTCCCGCCTTTTCTACACGTACAGTTACAGAATGTTCTGGAAATATTTAAAGCGAACTGGAATGGCTGACGTCATTTCCAGAGGCTATAAAAGGACTCGCAAAGGAATATCGGGGTCTTTTCTTTAATGTAACGATGCAGTAAACTTCATACAAAAAGTTATTAGTAGTTCTTTTTATTTTCTCCGGAGATCTGATTTTATGTAATTGCTATTTCTCCTGAATAATAATAAATGGATCCTGTTTTTCAAATTTATCGTCTGATACTTAGAGCATTCGACTACATCTATGATTCTTCACCAATTTATTTATTCCGGACAAAAGCTGGTATATCAACACAGGAATATGACTTATTAGTTTGGGGTAAAGATAAAAACGAACATGATTTAAGATTAAAGAAATTGTTGAACAGAGCCAGAGAAAAGAATGCTAAATTTAATTTTAATAAATGTAAATTTGGGCTGAATGAAGTGAAATATACAGGACATATATTTTCAAAAGATGGTTTAAAACCAGATGAAGACAAAATTAAGGCTATTCTAGATGTAAAACCACCAAAAAATTTTAAAGAATTAGAAACTTTCCTAGGAATGATTACATATGTTTCTAGATTTATACCTAATGTATCAGAATAGACATCATGTTTAAGAGATTTGTTGAAAAAACAAGTTATCTGGAACTGGAATGCAACACATGAAAAAGCATTTAGAAGACTAAAAGATGTCTTAGTAAATAAACCAGTTTTACAGTATTAAGATATAAAGATGCCAGTAGTTTTATCTGTAGATGCATCTCAAGAAGGATTAGGAGCAATATTACTGCAGAATAATTTACCAGTAGCATATGCATCTAAGACATTAACAGATACACAGAAGAATTATGCTCAAATTGAAAAGGAAACTTTAGCTATTGTATTTGCGCGTGAGAAATTTCACCAGTATATATTTGGAAAATATATTACTGTGGAAAGTGACCATAAACCACTGGAATCAATTTTCAAAAAGCCATTAAATAAATGCCCTCAAGATTACAAAGAATGCGTATAAGATTACAGCCATATCGGTTTGAGATAAAATACAAACCAGGAAAAGAACTTTTTATAGCGGATGCCTTATCAAGATCATTCACTGATAAAGGATCTGATTTCTTTGAAGGAGACATAGGAGCTCATGTTGGATTAGTTTTAGACTGTATAGCAATGTCTAAAGGTAAAATGGAAGTTTTTCAACTGGAAACAGAAAAAGATGAAGAACTACAAGTTTTAAGAAAATTAATTAAAACTGGTGGCCAGATGAAAAATGCATGGTTCCAGAACTGGCAAAACTATATTTTAACTTCAGAGAAGAACTATCAGAAGCAAATGGATTAATATTTAAAATTCCTGTGTTGTTGTACCAAGAAGTTTACGCAAAGATATGTTAAGCAGAATTCATTATGGTTATTTAGGAGTAGTAAAATGCAAGACCAAAGCAAGAGAAATATTATATTGGCTAGGAATGTCAAAAGAAATTGAAGATTTGGTACTGAATTGTCAAACATGTTTAAGTTTACAAAAAGCTAATACTAAAGAACCAATGATATCTAAACAAATACCTAATGGTTCATGGGAAGTATTGGGAACAGATCTCTTTTACTTTCAAGGAAGGGTTATAGATTATTTTAGCATTCTATAACTATTTTCTAATAGTTATAGATTATTTTAGCAAAAATGTTGATATTGGACATTTGGAAGATTTGTCAAGGTAGCAGTGATAAAGCAATTGAAATCAATTTTTGCAAGACATGGTATTCCGACAATAGTATATTCAGATAATGGTCCACAATATACGTGCATGAAATTTAAAGACTTTGCAAGAAGACGGAATTTTGAAACCAGAACTTCAAGTCCAAATTACCCAATCTAATGGAATGGTTGAAAGACATATTCAAACTGTCAAGCGAATGTTAGAAAAAGCTGTAATTGACAACAAGGATTCATATTTAGTATTACTGGAATATCGTAACTCTCCTATTTCAGATGAAATTAAGTCCACTTCAAATTTGATGTTTGGAAGAAAAATAAATGAATTGATGCCTATAAAAGAGAATTTCATCCAAGCTAAATGATATGAAGACCATAAACAACATTTACTGGAGAGACAAACCTTACAAAAAAGTTATTATGATAGGAATGCAAGACCGTGAAAACCACTGAAAATAGGAGATCATGTTTACATAAAAGAGAAAGGGAAAAAACTAAATGAAAGGGGAAAATTATAGAAGAAGCAGAAATACCATGTTCATTAGGATTATAAGAACAGATGGAAGAATAATAGAAGGGAGCAGAAGAGACCTTCTTAAAGGAACTAACCAGAGTTAGCAATACAAAACAACTCTGAGAATGAAGTTATAGATGAACCGGAAATACTTGAGAATAGCAGGAGCACTACAAATTTAGATGTGCCTGTAAGTCCTTCAAAACCTAACAGAAGTGTTGTGTCACCAAATAGTGAAAGAGGTATAGTATCATCAAATTTTTCAAATGGACATAACTACGTTACTCGATCTGGTAGGACTGTTATGAAACCTTATTATTTAAAAGAATATGTTTAATTTTACTATTATTATTTTTGATAAAAAAAAGGGAGATGTTATATATGTAACTGTAACTGTCTCTGTTATTATCTTTAATCATAACTGTAATATAGAATACTAGGATGAGCAATGTAGAATAAATGATGTTTGTGTACATCTTGTAATCATCACCGAGCACATACCCAACATATATAAAATACAACACACTAACTAAAACAGCTGCTGCAGGGTTTGCAACTTGGCGATATGCACCCATCCCGGTTATTGTCGAAAATGCAGGAACTTGCAGGTGACAATTTTAAATCGAATGATTTTACAATCATTGTGGTTCAACTGTCAAATCCAAGAATTATCAATGCAGGTCACAGCTTTACAGACATGATCTCAGTATCACCCACACAGCAAGTAAAAGTCAAGAAACTGACATAATAGGAACTACCAACACATGCAGTCCAGTGAGCAAAAATAAATTTCTTTCTATCACTTGCGATTTGATGATAAAGTGCATAAGTGTAAGCCTCCATGCACATTTCAACAAACCTCTTTAAACTAAGTGGGCTCACTCGAAGCCATGAGTGATAGTGGCCAGTGCATTAGTCGAATATTTGTAACTGATAAATTGTCAGACAGGCACTTTCTTGTCGATACAGGTGCGGGCATTTCCGTTGTACCTCTCTCTCGCTGAATCAAAGCATCCACTAGGAAAATTAAACTTATTTGCAGCTAAATGGATCAAAAATTGCAACATTTGGAGAGATATTAACCCCTTAACTGCCACGGAAAACGTACAAGGTTCATTTCCCAGTGCCACAGTTTTTCACACAGTTGTGTGATGTATTAGGGGGAAAATAAGTGCAAGTTTTACTTTCTAAAAACTGTTTACTTTCACAAAATAAAGAATAAAAGAAAAAAATGAATGCAAAAAATTTAATGTTTTCAATAAAAGTATAATAAAAATATGCAAGTATAAGAAAAATTGTTTTAATAATAAAAAAGATCCCTAAAATGGAGTTTCGATCAATTCATTTTTAGACTAGTAAAGTGTAATACAGTCAAAAGTCGTTAATCCGGACTTGGCCGATTCAGGATCGATTTTTCCGGATTATATATCATCAGTTTAAATCTGGTAAGATGGCATGCAGAAATTATAAAATTAAAAGTATGAAACCGTAATTTATGAAATAAAGAACAATTATGATCTAAAGGGTATCAAAATTTACAAAAAAAACTTAATATTATTTATTTACTTTATTAAATATTTCTTTCAATGTAAGTTGTTTAAGTTGCTTCGTTTTATGTGATAATATTTTCTCTTTGATTCTATAAACAGACAATTTCTTGTTCAGTTACAAAGTTCCGCTGTTCAAGTCCTATAATTGCTGTTTTGAGAATACCGACTATTCCGTCAATCGAAATTTTTTCGTATTCAATAACCTCTGTGTCACTTTCTCCACTATCGGAAGCGAATTATGATGACGAGGAATTTGATTTAAAGCATGTCAAAGACAGAGTACATCGAGATGAAATACTACATTTAGTAAGGAATTATAAGCCAAATAAAATAAAAACATCTGCCCTGAAGATATGGATAGCGCTGACAGATCAACTTCCAATTCATTGCGCGCAGCGGCGTGCATTTTACTTTATTCTTATTTTGTAGAATGTTATGTTCATTGTTTTTTTAGTATGATTTTCTGTCGTTATTGTTGTTTTTTTAATTGTTTTAAATTTATTTTAGGTATTTTAGTTTATTTTGTTGATTAGTGCAGTGTCTAGATTGTGCAATTTGTAGATTTTTTTTAAAGTTGTAACAGAACGCTGTGTACATGGTATTCTTTGAAATTTATTGTTGTTGTTATGTTATTTTATTAAAACGAGGTGTGCGTAGATCGTAGATTCGTTCTTTGCCTAAATTGTGCAATTCGTAGATTTTTTTAAGTTTAAACAGTATGCTGTGTACATGGTATTCTTTGAAATTTATTGTTGTTACGTTAATTTATTAAAGAGAGGTGTGCGTAGTTTGTAGATTCATTTGTTGCCTACATTGTGCCATTCGTAGATGCTTTTTTAAGTTAAAACATGCCGCTGTGTACCTGGATTCTTGTCAAATATTTTGTTTAGAAACTTTATGTTTTTGCTATCTAATTTTTTTTTTTTTTTTTTTTTTTTTTTTTTTTTTGTATGTACGAAAACCGCATTTTTGAGATATTTTAGGCTAAAGTTCGAAATGTAGACAAAAAAATTTAGATAGTAATAGGGCAGCGTGAAGTTTCTCGCCAAAAATATTTCGCGACTTGAGGGCACATATCAGAGTAGTTCCGAAAAGAGCTTATTTTAAGTGCAAACTCACTACGACTGATGGACTCTGGAAAGTAGTGCATGAGGAATAGAAAATCATTATCCCCTGTAATTTTATGAAAAGCCCTTCTATCATGGAAATCATGATTCATACTTATAATCCAAAAATTAGGCTGTCAGAGAGAACACTTAAGAAAAATATTTTTAATGTTTTAAACATTAAGCCCTGAATTTGTTCAAAAAAGTGCATAACACCATCTGTATAAAAAGTAATGTTAAAAAATAAACAAAAACACATTTAGATAACATTTATAATCTCTTGAAATTATACAAAATGTTTTAACTGATACCTTCACATTTTTTCTTTTTTTCTTTTTCTTAATATCATCCATAATTACCTAAAAAATAAATGATGAAAAAATAGTTTTACCACATGTTCTTTTAATCAATTTTTTTATAATCACTGTTAAAGGTTTCATTTTTTCTAGCTATGTTTCGAGATGCTGCAGCCAAATATTTAATGCTAGGAATAATATAAAATGTGTCAAACTGGAAAGAAAACAGTGGGATAGCTGTGAGGAAGCAAGGAGTAATATCTGGTCCTGAGCACATTATCCAGAAGGACTAAACTGATGTCATGAAATTTCACAATGAAAAGGTTTCCACTCTTCGTAAGTAGGAAGAGGCATGAAATCATCAGTTGTCCCCAGCACTGAAAGCCCTATGATGACTCTGGAAGGCAAATCAGACAAAGTAATGGAATTCCCTAAATGTTTTAAATATTTGAATGAAATTAGCTTTATATCAACATCAAAATATACCAGTACTATTAAGATCAGTAAATTCAACTCCAGAAAACAATATTCTGCCATTTTTTCATGAAATCTATTTATTACACCATATTACAAATTTTTCATGAAATTTATCTATTACATAAGTTAATTTACTAAAAATTTCCACAAATTTTATTATTTTTCTAACATTAATCGTTTCATACTTAAATTTTAAAATACATTTAACATAAATGTTTGACACATTTTATGTCACACACAATATATATTTCTTCCAAAGCACTACGCACTGAAATAATCAAAATCTGTTATCAAAGTTCAGGCATAAACACTGTTGGTTTAATCCTAGTATCCGATGCACAAGGGATCTGGCTACTATTGCTGACTTTATGATAAGCAGTAAACAGGACATATACGATGAGTAGGGGTCATTTTGGCGTTGGCGATAATTTTCAAAATCGCGCCAAGGCTGCACCGTATACTAGGATTTTATTAGACTGTTAAACATATCCGGCAAGAAACTGAATAAAATATGAAAACAAATCATGTCCTTAAAATAATTGAAACTGGTAGTATACAATGAGTATGGCAAAGCAGTAAGCTAAGAGTAATAAAATATTTAGTTTCAGAAAAATTTTTTGAAGCAAATGTTTGATTTTCACTCTATCAAACAGTAACCATTTTATTTACACGACTACTTATGCCAGTGCTATATGTATTACACTATTTATATTCAATTTATACTTGTATTATTTTTATAAAGAAAACTGTATAACATTCTGAAATACTTTTAAAATTAAATAACAGATGCAATGAGATTTTGTCTTTAATTGGGATATTTTTTTGGCAGGCATTAATATCCAATTACTATTGCAAGTTCCTGTTTTTTTCCATTCTAATGGGCATACATATTAACCAAAATATTTTGCAGTTCCCATAATTTAATTAAATTTAAAGGTAAGTTTCCTTACTTTTTAAATACTTCTTCTACCAATATTATTTTTAGTTAAGTTCGAAAAATTTCCAAATTTTTTATGTTATAAAATCCAATAGTAAACTTAAAAACAAGTTATGGGTTTTCATCCGCAGAGAACCCCGTTGGCGCCGTTGCATTTTTACTCGCCAAGCTCGCGGTTCATCGACGATGAGCCGAGACGTAAGCGTGATATTTATTATTTTGTATAACGTGAGTTTTAGTGCATGTAAATTCAAGTTAGCAGACAAAACAATATATTAAGCATATGGTAGTAAAAATTCACAGATAATATGCATGTAGATGTAAAACTAACCGGTTAAACGTGATATACGGATATAAATTTGTATTAAATTCAAGTTAGCACAGAAAAGAAGAATATATTAAGCATAAGACAATATATAAGCATTTATAACGGAAATAAAAATATAAATTAGTATTAATGTACTGAATTACCCGGTTAAAACGTGATAAACGAAAAAAAATTTGTCTTAAATTCCAGTTAACACGGAAAATAATATAATCCTTACATCAGCAGTGGTTTGCTAATTTTGATGACCATGGTGATGCATCAAACTATTCTGTCATCTTAGATAATCAATCATATTTTTTATTTCAGTTTAATCATCTATTTATGTCACACCTGCTATCCTCTGAAAGGTTATTGTTAGAAAAGCATTAACAATATATTATCTTGTTAAAATTTTACGCCATAAAATTGATTTATTCTTCATAATTTTTAGATGACAATTAACCAATAATAAAAATAAAAGCATTTACTTATTGACAAATGCACATGCATATTTTTGCGGTCCTACGAAAACGAAATTATTTTAGGGGTTAAAAACCTCATAGTTCTGCATGCTTACAGCTGTTAATAATTAAGAACACAACGTGGAACAGCTGTGTTACAAATTAGCATTCACCTCCACCCCCCGTATTTTCTTCCTTTCATCCCGAACCGAAAGAACCGGCATCTATCTACGAAAATATTTCTATCTATTCGTTGTTTAAAAAAATTCAGAAAAAATAATAATAAATAAGAGAAGAATAATATAAATCTGCAAATGCGAACAACGACACTGATAATTCAACAAAGTGAACGCAAGACGAATGGTTGCAAACTTCGAACAAGCGAATAGGATAGTGAACGCAAGAGGAATGGTTGCAAACTTCGAACAAGCGAATAGGATAAATCCGCGGGGTTACCAGGTTTGAACTATTATCGCCAAAGTTATGTTATGATGTTTACATTTACCGGGTTCTCTGCGGAAGTGCTTCCCAAGAAATTTTATGATCCAAAAATATATGATTATTTAAACTATCCATTCACAATAAAAAAAAAATGGAGGTTTAATCCTAGTATCCGGTGTACTCGGGATTTGGCTACTTTTGGCGACTTTATGATGAGCAGTAAAAACGGGACATATGCGATGAGTAGTTAACGGGTCATTCAAAGAAAATATACAGTTAAACATAGTGTATACTATGTATATACTATATATATACTATGTGTGTATATACATATACTATGTGTGTATAAAATGGATATTCCACAATACCATTAATGGTCACACCACTATTGACAAAGTTTTTCTTCAGTACAAATTCTGGTATATAAAAGGAAATTATTAAAAAAATCACCCAGAAAATTCATAACTCTGATTTCAGTATCTCGGTAAATGAACCATAATATTACATATTTAAACCAAAAAAATACCTTGAAGGGATATTCACCTTACTTTGGTAGACGGTTGCACGGATTTTGGCGATTTTTTTTTTTTTTTTTTTTTGCGAGCTATAAGACTTATGATAAACCCATTGCTAGACAAGTTATTTATGGCAACCGATACTTTGTTGTCGTTTTATTTAAAAAACAATGCATTTTATTAAATGTGTTTTAAATATTATTTCTATAATTTCACTGTAATTTTCTTATACTTTACAACATTACATTTAAATTAGACTTGTAAATAACACAGTACTTTATATATATATATATATTTAAATTTACACAATACCACATATGAAGCAAGCAAAATCTACAGCACATTTACGATGCTATTTCTTTGTTGAATAATATAATTCAAACCAAAATAATAAATTGGCATTAAAATAATTCGCACTAAAATTTGAAACACACAATTAAATGCCTTTGTTTAGTTATAATCAAAATAATCCAGAGTATCAGCATTATTTATTGAATAACAATCAAAGGATTAAAAATGAAAAAATTACTTCGAAAAAAATTTGAAGTTCAAAGGACTTCTAGCAGAAGCTCAGTAATACGTCTTCACCGTAGGAGCCGACGACCACTTTTCAGTCAAAATTACCACTCGTGCTCTCCTTCTCTCTGAAACCGTTAACATTACATCATACCTTAAGCACCAATCATAACAAAGCACGTGAAGTTTCAGTTTCGATTTTCACAGTTACAGTCATGATTAAATTTTTGTTTGGCCAAAACAAAGCCCATTATTTATTATTATAACCCATTATTATTTAACACATTTATTAGCCCGAAGAGACGATTTCCTGAGAAGGGCTATTAATTTAGTACTGGCATTTGGCGTTGGTTCACTATAAAATTCTGAATCAAATTGTTGCTACCAAATATTAAAACTCTGCATCACATATAAAGAGGTTAAATAATGAAGAATCGGCAGGAATGTATATTGCGGGAGGGGGAATATGGGGACAATTCTATATCTCCTGTTCTACTGATTCGATTAACGAAATTCAAATTGCGTTCTTCATGTCTCGAAAGTGCGACTTAGGATATATATTAGATTTATGTATATCACTGTTCTAACATAGGTATTTTGACACAAAATCGGACTTTCTCTGAAATAACATACCAATTTTTTTTTTACATATATCGATTCTAAGACTGAAATTATGCCTAAATATTAAATTTTGTAAAATTTGGTGCGAAATTTACGGAGAAATTCAACAATTTATGTGGGCGCTTTTTTTTCAGTTTGCGCCAAAATTAGCTCACTTGGCGAACTTCTTAATATGTGGCAACCTATTTTCATTTCCATTTTAACATCGTGCGTAAGCGGAAAAAAATTCAAAATCATTCCTTCTTTCAAATAATATTCTTTATATTATATTTTTAATTATAATTGTTATTAATTTAAGTAATTTTTTCTTTTTCGAATTTCCTTTTAATTGTTTAAGTTGCATAATTTCTTTTGAATAAGTGTTTAAAAAATTTCTATTTAGTCAGTCGAACTGTGTAGTTTAAATAAAGCTGCATCGTGTATATATATACATATATATAAATATACACGGTGCACCAAGAAAACTATTGTGTTTCATACTTAAATTTAGTAACAATTATTACATAACATACATTTTCTCAAAATATTAAAATATTAATTTAATAAAAAAGACAATTGTTTAGAGCGGAGCAAAAAAATGGCTACATAAGTGATGGGACACCATTAGATACTAAACGTACTACAATAAAAATTTTTTTTGGGGTTTTTATTTTTACTCAAAAGCAATTGGCAATAATTTATAAAATCGTCTGCAGTATTTCTCTACAGTTTGTATTGGAATTTTTGTGTTTTTCAGCTCTGTGCAGCCATAAATGCTAAACGAAAAGAAACTTTGCCTGAAATTCGAAAATTAGTTATTAATTTGCATATTGAACGTGAAAAATCTATTAGAGAAACTGCTGAAACAGTTAACATGAGTCATTCAACAGTTTTCAATATCATTAAACGATATAAAAAGAATCATATGATTCAGGATAAAAGAAGAACTGGCCGACCATCAAAGCTATCCAATGGAATAAAACGAATTATGGTTCGAAATATTAAAAAAAAATCCAAGAATGAGTGCTCCTAAAGTTGCTGCTGATTTACAAGCATTATATGGAGTAATTGTTAATCCTGAGACTATTAGAAGAGTAATTCGATCTGCTGGATATCACGGTAGAGCAGCCGGGAAAAAATTCTTCGTAAGTGAAAAGAATAGAAAACTCAGACTGGCTTTCGCAAAATCCAACATAAATAAGAATTCTGATTACTGGAATGAAGTTATATTTGCTAATGAGAGTAAATTTAATATATTTGGTTCTGTCGGTAGAATCTTAGTGTGGAGAAAACCCAGGGAAGAATTTCGTAAACAGAACATGGTGGAGGAGGAGTTATGGTATGGGGGTGTATGTCGTCCGCTGGTTGTTGGTCTTGTTTTTATTGACAGTATAATGGATCGGCACAAGTATGTTGAACATTTTAAATCAAAATTTGAAATCTTCGGCACGAAAATTGAACCATCGTAACGATTTTAAATTCTACCAGGGCAATGACTCCAAGCACACTGCTTTGAACGTTAGAGTCTGGCTGCTGTATAACTCTCCTGGAATAATAAAAACACCACCACAATCTCCAGACTTAAATCACATAGAGAAATATTTGGCAAAAATTGGAATCAAGAATTCGCAAACACACCATTTCTTCAAAACAAACAATTAAAATCGGTGCTTCAAGAAGAATGGGGTAAAAATCACTCCAGAAATCACAAAAAAATTAGTCGAATCCATTCCAAGAAGATTAAATCATGTTTTAAAAAGTAAAAGGAAATCCAACAAAATATTAAAACCTTTTAAAAAGTAAAATTTTTGGATAAATATTTGATGGAAAAGTAAGTGTCCCATCACTTATGTGAGCCAGTTTTTGCCCGTTCTAAACAATTATATTTTATTAAATTCATATTTTAATATTTTGAGAAAATGTATGTTATGTAATAATTGTTACTAAATTTAAGTATGAAACACACCCACAAAAAATTTTTACATGTTTTTTAATTATTTTACTACAGTTTCTTTTTGTAAAGCACAAGTGTCCCATCACTTTTGTGAGACACTGTATATTTTTTAGTCATAGATATTACTTTTTAGGTAATTTTTAAATTTTTAGACTATTATTTTAATTGTTTGTGTTGCATTGCTTCTTCAGATAATTGTTTTAAAATTTTCTATTTATTCATTCGAACCGAGGCTTTTAAATATATTTATTAAAATAAATTTTCCAGAATTTGATTTTATTTGAATTGCGTTTCTTTCGGAAGAAAACTTTGTGATTCAGACTACGATACATTTGAAAACTGCATATATTAAAGAGAAACTACAGTTAAGCACAGTTAAGACGCCTTTCATTGTTCAGTTCAGAAAATATATATAAATAAGAGAGATGTATAACCGACATTTTAACTTAGGATGACTTGCATACATTGCTTTAAACAGTTTTATCATTGTTCCCATTGCTTTGCACAGTTTTATCATCCTACATTTAGTTTCTTAAAATGTTATTCACATTTTATTCAAATATTTTATTTTTGAAACCGCAAGAATCAAATATCATAAGATTAAAAAATGTTTTAAATTAAAAAAAAATACTAAATTTTATGCCAAAATTTAATTTTTCTTCTTAATGGCTTGCTCTTTTTCTTCAGGCATTCTGCAAGTATATTAAAAAGCATCCAACTTTCTTAAACATCTTGGTATTTCTTACATTCATTTTAAATAAAGTTATCACCTTCCATTTCATAAAGACCCGCAACCGAGCGGTAAGGTCGCTGAACACTGGTAGTTAATTTCGGGTTCAAATCCCGGCAAACGGACTGGTTGTATGTAACGTGTATGCCAGCTGGTTTCCCTTAGAAAGTTCTTCAGGAAGGCATCCTTCCTTTTAGGCAGATAGCCCTACTTTGCCATAATTTAGTAATCCAGTTCAATCCATTTTATCAGTATTTGGTCAGAGCCTTTATCAGTCTTTAGTGGCTAAGCATTTTGAAGGCATGAGATGAACGGAAAGACTGGTTTCATCAAGAGGGAAAACGTCTTCAGATGATATCCATATACGTTTTAGAGACATTAGGATTTTTTGGAAGGAGAAGACTTAAAAAATGAGCAATGCCCTCGCAGGGAATCGAACGGCGGACTTCTCGAATACGCGCCGAGTATGCAGAGCACTACACCACGAAGGCATGTTAAGAATGCTGAAGAAATACCTTATATACTCCCCCTTTTAAAGGGCGACTGGGGATTAGAGGACCCAGTAGCCAAATCTTGGTGGTGAAGAATCATCATTCGCCACCTTTTAGTTCGGGCGCCACTGTAGAGACATTAGGTTTTTTTGGAGGGAAGCAGGGGAAATGAAAAATGAACTATGCCCTTGCCGGGAATCGAACCACGGACGTCTCGAATACACACCGAGCGTGCAGACCACTACACAACGAAGACACGCTAAGAAGGCTGGAGTAATACCTTATAACGACAGTGGATAAATTCCTGAATCTTCAAATAATTCGATCGAGAAAAATCGAGATGGGATGCTCCGTTTATGATACGATATGATGTTCTATGACGTAATTTAAGTTTATACGACCATATACTCGAAAGCCAGTCGTCGCTCTTCAAATTAATCTGCCGTGATGTGATTTTTGTCTTTTCTGTTAGTAATAACTCAGTTGCTGCTATTTGCTGGTGTGCGCGTCCAAGTGTTTTCTCTTTGAACACCCAACTTCCTTGAAGTACCGGGTGATCAAAAGGTCAGTATAAATTTG